GGCGGTGCCGTGGCCGCGCACGGGGAGCGGTGAGCGCCGCCGTTACAGGGCCGGAAAACCCCAAAAGAACCCAAAAAACCCAAGAGCCCAAAGCAGGCAACACCGAAACGGAGCAGAGCGACTGGAAAAACGCACCGAGGTCTTTTTATTTCAGTAACAAGGACTTAAAAATCGGTGTTGTGATATAAGTTAAATAAAATAGTGTAAATACCACACTTTATTTTTGCTTGTCTACATACAGCTTATTTAGAAAACTGATAGACTTTACAGCTTAAACAGTGACACCTGATTCCAACTGCCTGATCTGCACCTTCCAAGGCAGCAGATTGTATAAAATACTGTGATATTCAAAGAAAAATATACTGTACAAAAAGAATATCTTTACACTAATTTGATATCTAAAAATCAGACGAGCCGCCATCGGGAATTCACGGTATACAGCTTATTTAGAAAACTGATAGACTTTACAGCTTAAACAGTGACACCTGATTCCAACTGCCTGATCTGCACCTTCCAAGGCAGCAGATTGTATAAAATACTGTGATATTCAAAGAAAAATATACTGTACAAAAAGAATATCTTTACACTAATTTGATATCTAAAAATCAGACGAGCCGCCATCGGGAATTCACGGTAAACTGTCTTCTCTCACGAGGAACTGGTGGATAAATTGCTGAGCTTTCCTCTTGTCACCGATATCGGGCATGGGATGTCCAGGAGGAGGGCGAAGCAACAACCCCCCAAATATACTGGCTGCGTTAAAATAAATAAAAGAAGAAAATCACACACACAGCAAGAGGAGCAGCAGCAGCACAGCACAGTGACCCCCCCCAACCCCCCAGGACAGAGCCAAGGCTGCTTCTCTGCGAGCTGTTTGCCCATCGGTAAAGGCTTCAAACAGCAGAGGCCACGACTGCACTCCCTTCGAGCAACGTTGTGTTACACAGACCCCAAAGCCCCTCCCAGCAGAACGGTTATTTTGCTCCTTACCAAGAATATTCACATCCAAATGGTTTCTCCCTGAATTTTTCAGTAGTTCTCGTAGAAATGCCATTAGATATTCAAATACATTTTTATGGCACTCTGGCAGGTTAGAGATGATCTGAGGAGGGGGAAAAAAAACCAAAGCCAACATTTATACTGAAGATACAGCAATGGCTTAGCAGCTCTACCCACTACCAACATCTCCCTGTCTGCAGACACCAACAGCTCTTGATAACCAAGAAGCGCCAGTTTCGGGTCTGTTATCAGATCATGGAGTTTTCTGAGAACAAAAACCCGTTACTGACATAAAACGGTTTCCCTGCCCTCCCTCGGGAATCGCAGGAGGCTCGGGGCGAGGGGGGCGATACGAGGGTGGCCATACCTGGCTGCTGAGCTGGAAGCTGCGGGCAGACTCCAGGCAGCTGCGGTAGAAGCTGTGGCAGATGACGGGCTCGGGGAGGCTCTCCAGGAAGAGCAGCAGCGCTTCCGCCACCGAGTGGTTGCTGCCGACTGACCCAGGGGCGGTTAAGGAAGAGGCAAGCACGGCGCGATCCACCTTCATCAGGTTTTGCTCAGGTCTCCAGGAACTCCCGCTATTGCTCACTGCTTTGAGGTAACTCCCTGGGCTCCACAGAGCGAGCAGTGTCTGTGGACAGCTGGACACTTGCACCATTCACCATCAGCATCGCAAGGACTTAGCGGACGTGATGGCTCCGACTGCTCGGAGCAGTGAGGAACTGCAGAGCTCAGAGGGGTGGTCATTTAAAACCATGGCGGAGCATAAGACTGGTAAAGTCTTTTCCAGCTTTGATCGCCAAGGCACAGCGAGCCTCACTGGACAGCAGTCTGAAAGGATACAGAGGGTGTCGTGCATTCCCTTGTCCAAACAATCTCGGATTTGCTCAAATTCGGATCTGAGGCCTGGTTGCTGAAACAGGTCCTCCTGCAAAGCAGATCATCAGTCAGCCTCAAGGGAAACAGAAGTTATTTGGGTAAACAGAGCAACGTTGTTATCTGGCTGGACACATCTCTCCGAAGGGGCATCCCCAGCACGGCTGTGGCCCCGCAGAGCTGTGCAGAGGGGCAGCTGCCGACACAGGACACACACAGACCAGGTCACCATCACGAAACAGCACAACCCAGGTGCCAGGGTCACTTATCACAGATGTCCTTTATCTCTGACTGTTGGCCAAACTCCACAGTTAGCAGTCACTGCCATTAACGGTATCCTCTTCAAAAGTAACCCCAACACAAACCAATCACTTTGTGTCTGCAGCACCAACCTGCTGGGCAGCGTTGCGGTACAAGTGATCCACCATCATCCACAGCTCCTTGGGGATGTCCAGAGGCTTTTCAGCTTCGACGGCATCGCCGTTCGTTTCCAGCGGCATCAGCGTCTGGGAGGTGTGGAGAGGGAAAAAAGAAGAATAAAGGCAGATAGCCAAGTTCTTATTCAGCTCTGCAAAACTGCTTCACAGAGCTTGCACCTGAGAACTGGGAAATGAGTGCTCACAAACACGCTTCACACACACTCGGCTCTATGGAAACATTGCACGTGTGAGGCACGGGGCACGCACAGCTCCGTTCAGTGCGGAGAGAGCCAGAGGAAAGGTCCAGGGAAAGGTCTACATTGAGATGATGCACACCTTTTTTAAATGTGCAGGCAGGGCTAATAGGACCTTATATCAGCGCTCTCTACATGCAATGGGTTGGCTCATCCCAAAAAGAACCAAGGCAGGGGGTGCAGGTGGAGCAATGGAGAGCACAGGCTATGGAGCAGGGAAGTGGAAGACGGCTCTTCAGCGATAAACAGGACATAACACCTAGTTTTAATGGTTCCCATCTTGTCTTTAACTCACGAGTTTCCGAATGGATTCTGCTGACATGTCCTGGATCGGTTCCCTCATGTAACACAGCGTATGAATGGGAGACCCGAAGCAACTTGGCAAGTAGTTTCCTGTTACAGACAGAAAATAGTCCTTCCCCCTGTTAAGGTGCAAGACCAAGATATCTTCAAGTTTTTCCTCTCCGGAGTTTAAGTGCGTAGCTGTTGATTTATTAACAAACACCTCCAGCTCGATCGTGACTTCAGCATCTGTGGGAAGATGATAAAAACCCATACTCAGTTAAAAAAGGGAATTAAACCCATGAGCTTGCAAATAGGCACAGCATTCTCAGCATACCAGAGGGGACAATATTAGCTCATTAACACGGGACGGCAGACGAGGGGCTCACCCGACAGCAGGAAGCCCTTGCTGGGATTAGCGGTCAGCCACTCCTTGCAGTAGGTTTCCTCATCTGGTTTGCTGATGAACTCAAACTGGCAAGGCACTGGGCCATTGCGGATCGTAAACCTCTCCACCTGCAGCTGCATGTACTTAACGTCCTCGAAATGGAACTGGAAACAAACGTCAGACAACTCCATCAGCCTTGCCAGGCATCAGCAGCAATCCCTGGCCTGGGGTTTAATCATTAAGCAGCAAAATACCCAGATTAACCCTCTTGCTCCCACACCCCATCCCTCCCAGGATTACACAGGATTACATTTGCTTACCCCGTGTGCTGAAGTTGTTTGCAGTGGGCCCTTTAAAACCAATGCTCCCTCAAATAACCTCACTGGAACTCCAGAACAAGGTAACTGTAGCCTCAAACGTCTCATTTGCTTATCGTTTTTAGCCCCCAATACACAAAGCAAATGCCAGTTCTGTGACCTTCTCCAAATCCTCCAGATCTTACATTTTATGTCTCACCCAAGTCAGAGCAAGGGCCACAAGCTGCCCTTTTACTCTCTCCCCACCCCATGAAGTGACGCCCCTGCGTTCCAGCCTGGTCCTGTGAATGGGATTTACCTGCATCTACACAGAAAGAAGCATTTCTCAGGCCTGCAAGCAGAGCACAGCTGGAAGTCAGAATATTCAACTTCCCTGGGATCAGACCTCGGGCTCAGAGCCCATCTGATGCACTTCCACCACAGTAACACATTTACGGGCACCAGGGCTGCTCCCCTGTGAGTCACCAACACCAACACACCCCTACCTCTCTGCGGGACAAGGACACCGAGGGAATGTTGGCGTTCTCCAGCTTGTCCAGCGAGCGCACGATTTCCTCAAAGGCTTTTCGGTAGAGCTCCTCGTTCACAACCTTCACCTGGAAGGACACACACGCTGCGGGCGCCGGCGCTCACCGGCTCTGCAGAGCGGCAACCGCTGGGCACACGTGAGCGCCCGACTTCAGCTGCACAACCACACACACAGCACCGTGACCAACAGACGTTTGACAACGCACTGCTGTGCTGGCAACGACGGAACATTCTTGCACTGCACGTCTCTGTGAAAAATACTCAGAAAATAAGAAAAAAGGCAAAAGAACACTTGTGAAAAAACACCTCCAGACACTCTGTTATTCTGCTTAAGCGCTATCACCAACTGCAAACAATCCCCTCCCTCGTCTATCCCCCTTTCAGCCATTGTTCTCTGTGAAGCCATAAAAGCAGAGGAGAGGGAAATGAGCAGAACCTCTCGCTCCCCACAGCCAGCACTGACCCCTCTCAGCCCCCAGCACTCACCCCAATATCGAACACGGAACTAACGGGCTTGTGGTCACTGATCTTCAGAGCCATGTGGCTGCGGTAGCTCAGCTGAGCGATGCCCGGCCCCTTCCAGAGAATGCGGTCGCACCATGCGGGGATGCGGCACTTCTCACTGGACAGGGAAAAACCACGGTTTCCAGGTGGAGTCAGTGCAAGGCAGAACCTGCTCTCCCCGAGACCCCGTTTTCCTGACACGGCTGGAGCCAGCTCTCTGTCAAAGCTCTGCTTTCCAGTTTCTTTGAGCAGTAGCACAAGGTTTGATTGTCTGATACAAGGTTTCTCTACGTCATGCTTTGCTTTCTACTTCTTCAAAGACGCAATTCCTTCTTTTGGTACAATTAACATACAAAGCAATACTCAGAGGTGCTTTTGACCATAAGAACCATGAGGAGTAAGAACTCAGCTCTGCATTTAAAGTTCACATTTTAACTGTTTTCCACTGGTTGCTGCACAGATTTCGTTCCTGCATTAGAAGCCAACGTTCACCAAGAACAGGTCAGCCACGCTGCGTCGTGCAGCAGAGGAACGATGGCTCTCACAGGCTTTGGAGAATGAACTCAGCTACAGGCAGCACAAATGCCCCTGCTGGTCCAGCTCCAGTGGGTAAAGCAGGAATCCGCAAATAAAACATCCTAAACGTCTTGCTTGGGGAAAAAACAAACCACACCAACCAAAACAAACAAACAAAAAGAATGAAACTAACTAAAGTGATTCCTTGATTTTGAACATCGGTAAGAGGAAACCAAGTGGGCTTTTCCTAAGGGAAAAACATAGGAATATCTGACAAATAGCAGTAGAGGAAAATGTTAGTCACTGATAGCACCACATAGGAGGCGATCGCCGTACCTTGTGTCCCAGTCATCACAGCCTGCATCGTATTTGTACGTTGGCTGGAAAGAAATCTCTCCCTCTGTAAAGCCTTCAAAGGCCGCATTTGCATTCATTTGCCTCTTTAGCTACAAAGGAAAAAAGGACAAAAAGAATTAAAGTGCAATTCCTGTATGAGCTAAAAGGGAGATGTTCAGCACCGAGAAGGCCGAGGAGCACACGTGCAGTTTCCACCCAGCACCCACGCAGGCAGGCGAGACCTCGGTACCTGGTCGTACTGGCAGAGCTCTGGAAATGCCTTCTCATCTACGAGCTGCTTCACTCGCGCCACATCCAGCTCCTCCAGCCGGTAGTTGAGGTCCCCCAGCCACAAGATCACGCTGAAAGAGAACGGCACCAGGAGCTGCAGAGCTGGCCTGGAGCTGACCCGGAGCTGGACACACGGCCCCGCAGCAGAGCCCCAAACCGGCAAACGCAGGCGTGAACCCTTCTCATCTCAGCACCTGGTGGATGCTGCGTCTGCTTCTCCATCAGAGAGCGCAAATAAGACTGAAAACTTGAGAGAAGCGACATTTGCTCCCTTTGCTGGTTTTGATTCCTGTTCTGCGTGTTCGTCACTACCTCTCAATAACCGGTGCCTTTAACGCTCCGCACTGACTACATCCCACGGCCCACGGGGGAAATCAGTGAGTATCATTGCCCCATTGCCACTTCACGCTTGGAAATAAAACAAGAGCACGAGAAGGCAAGAGGCTCATCAGAGCTGCGTAGGTGACCACTCTCAAAACCAGGTCACGGCAAAGCATTTCTGGCCCTCCCAGGCTGACGATCGCTGGGCACCCCTTTGCACACCCCTTTCGCACACCCCTTTGCACACCCCCGCAGAGGGAACCGCACACCCCCTCGCCACGTGCAGCGATTCCCGCAGTCGAGGGGAAGCGTACTCGTGTTTGGCAATGGTGAGAGGGGGCAGATTTGGATCCGACTGGCAGAACTGCATCCGAGAGCAGATGTCTCTGAAGTCCTGGTTCCTCCGCTCGTATTCCTCCGTGTGAGCCGCGAGGTGAGAGTTCACAACGCACACGCTGGTGTTATGGAATTTAAACCTGATGGCAACACCACCTTTGTTACCCTGAAAGACAAAGACAAAGGCAGCTCAGCAGTCGAGCAGATGAGCCCACAGACGAGGTGTTAGCAGTGGGCAGAAGACATTGAGACAGATCATTAGCTCCCAGAGGGAGGAAAATGCCAATTAGTGGTAACTGCTTTGTGAATTCAAGTCAGGAACTCGTGTGAGGGCTGCACACAGCAACACAGTGTGCCGACAGAGGCAGGCACATGGGACTCAGTTTGTCATTCAGGAATTAGCTGATGTAAAAGGAAATTAAAATCAGTACAAGAGCCGGGCAGTTACTTCAGTAAGTCCCAAAACCTGTTTAGCAACAAACTGGATCTTTCAACACAAACCATAACAAATTGTAAACGGAGGAGGAAGCGCATGGCTTGTCAAAAATTCCCTTGGCGAGTGAGAGCTGCAATGCTCACAGAAACTGCATTCAAAGGGCTCAGATCTCACTCCAGGAGGAGCAGCAAGAGGCCAGGAAAGGCTCAAGAAAACTAATCTGGACAGACGCATTTCTGCTACTCCTGTTTCCTTCTGTTATTTGCTTTGGGCGAAATCACGGCCAGCATCAAAACCACGTGAGAGCGAGAGCAAGGCCCCACGCAGCCCAGCACACGCAGTCAGAAAAAAGCTTTCGTAGAGGATTTGCCCCAGGTCTCTGAGCCTTCGCAGCTCCATCCAGCAGCACCCGAGCTGGGCAGGGACAGGACCGGGCGCTTCCAAAGGCAGTGGCATAACCGGAATAACCCCACGTCCAGGGAGAGGGGCTCTCCTAAACCTCACCCCATCCCACGCGCTGTTCTCACCATCCTCCCCATGATTCCAGTTCCCACAGTCTCGATCTCCACCTCGGAGATGTTCAGAGCAAGGTCTGCTCTCACGTACAGCAGCAGCATGATTCCCACGAGCCGCACGAGTTTCACCTGAAAAACAGAACCCGTTCCATCAAATACTGCAATGGGGGAGGTTTGACGAGAGAAGGACATCGCCCCCAGCCCAGAACACGGCTCCCCAAAACACAGACAAGAGAAGAGGCGTTCCGGGCTCATCCGATGAACCAAGCGGGCTCAGCACAAGCAGCCAGGGACCAACACCCCCGTAAAGGAAGCCAAAGCCCAAAGCAAAACCTCCAGCACAGACACAGCCCATGGAAGGGGCTTCCTTCAACAGCAGCGACAAGAGACAAAGCAGAGCAGAAGCAGGAGCCAAAACCAAGCGGCATTCCTACCCGGATACCTTCACGCCTCATTCACCACGCAGTGAGGGGCAGGCGTGGAAGAAGCCAAGAGATTTCCTGTCCTCCTCCCCCTGCCCACCCCTCACCCTCAGAGCGCTGCTGCAGCAGAGCCTCACGAGATGAGAGCTGAGCACAGGGAAAGGGAAGAGAGGCCCAAGTGGAAGCTGATTCCACACACAAACCTCCCCAAAAGCCATGTTTACCTTGGCATATTTGGCATCTGGGTGAAGGCTATCAGTTACAGCTTTAAACCATTCCTCCTCCTTCGGTGTGTCATTGAAAAAGAAGGCTTCTTTACTCAGATCAAGCTCCTGGAAACTGCGTTAGAGGAAGGAACCCATGGATGCTTGCACTTGTTTATGACTCTCCAGCCCTGACCTCTGGGAAACAGCTAAATCAACTGATGGTCGCTAAATTCGTAACTGAAAACTCAGACTCATCATTCATCATCATTCATTATGCTGATTTTAGGGGTAAGTTAAATGTAAAGCTAAACTACCATTAGTACTGAGTCGAATGGCGTTAGAGGTTGTGTAACGCTGCAGTGCCAGAGTCCAAACACCACGGCAGTGACAGCGCTTCCAGGCTGTGCAAACGCGCTGAAGCTGTGCAGTGGAGTCAAGCAACGCAAACGTCCCCAGCCGAGGTTCCCTGCTGGACCCCCCCATGTGACGGAGCCACAAGACCCCCCAGGGCAGGAACGGACGCTCACCCCACGCAGTAAACGTCCGGAGGCTCGGCATCGCAGCGCAGCCACGGCTGGAGGCTCTCTCGGGGCGACTGCCCGTTCACGTTGTACGTCCCCACAAAAAACCTGCGAAGACAGGAGCCGAGTCCCAGAGCTGATGGAAACAGCGCTATTATAACCCATGTGCTCACCACCACATGTAACTGCTTAGGAGTAACACGCTTCCAGGGGAAATGTGACAAAGTTCAAATCCCTAAAGTGATTTAACTACGTTTCACAGAAGGTTACACATTTTTACACACAGTGTATAAAAAACAGCACTAGAGCTGTGCAGTAGCACTTTGCAATTATAAATTCATAGAAGGACGTGCATAAAAGGATTTCAATCACAGCAGAGTTTTAGTCCTAACTACTTATTTTACCCAAGCTTTTATGAGCTTATCTGAACAATGACATGGGTAAAAAATGACCAGAAGAAGTAAGAGAAGGCCAGAGGTGCAGAGAACCGACGCATTTCCAGACATGCTCTGAAATACGCACAGGAAACAGCCATTTCTAAAAGGCAAAACAAGTTCTTCTCAGGGATGATCATTACCTGAAGCTCTGGATGTGCGTGTAGGAATCCTCCATTTGCACAAGCTGGGATTTAACGATGGTGTCCCTCAGTCCGAACTTGGGTTCCGATAAGATTGCAGCCTTGTTTGAAGCCATCACGCTGGAGGACCGCACCATCTCAGTCGTCACTTCGGGTCTGAGTTTGCTTTGCCTGCACAGGAAAGCAAAACCACAGTGAAACCCCGGACATTCACAGCCCACAGCTCACGTCTGCCCCCGAGGAGTTGATTCCTATCTGTTTCACTAGAGACAACCATGCCTGGGATAGCAAACAAGACTGAAAGGAGCATTTCTTAGAACGGTTCAGATCTGGAGATAAAACCAGTTAAACTGACCAAGGTGAAAGGTTTTCACTAACCTGTTAGTTCAGAGCAGGCTTCCACCTGGATTTTGATATAAAACCTGCACGCATTTCCTGGTTACTGGAGCAAGGAGATGCAAATCTCATCCCCGCTGCCTCTGCCCGGCCCTTCTGACCTCAGCCCTGAATGAAAACCCATGTTTGTCCAAAACCGTCCTGGAGGAAAACTCCAGCTCTGCTGGGGATGGAGCAGTGAAGAGTGGGTGGAGGCAGAGGTGGTTTCATTTGGTATCTCTTGGCTCTGCAAACCCCTTCTGCAGCAGAAATCATGCTACAGCTTGGGAGTTCCCACAGGCAAGGGGATGGTATGAATTTAAGGTCAAGAGCCCGCACAGCGGTGCCAAGGACGGTGCAGGCTCTGGAGGATACACAGCGGGGTCCGCAGAGTCCTGGGAACCAGAGAAGGAAACTGTAACATTTCCAGACCGTATCTACAGACACGGCGGCCCCGAGCCAAAGCTCCTGGATTCAAAATAAACAACGCCAGCGGGTCCTGTCCGCTCTCCAGCACAAATATGCCCAAACAGGGACTGGCAGGACTGCCCCTGGGAGGCCGGGCTGAAATCCCCACTGGAGGTTTCACTGCACGCTTCTGGAGAACTCTTTTCTCTCCCAACTCGAATCTGCGGATTCTCTTCCCAAAACGCTGCCAACTCCTGCTCCAGGTCCCAGCACCACCGGGGACCGTGACCAACGCGGTCACCGCAGAGGGGACGCGGTAACGCAGCTGCAGCATTGCCCCAGCGTGCGCAGACCTCGCACACCAGTACCAGGGACACCGACCCCCCAGACCACGTCCAGCTGAACGCCAGGACGCCCAGACAGAAAACTCTGCACCTTTTCTTCCTCTGGACACCAAAGCATCGACAATTTCCCCACCGCCGCTCATCCCACCCACACGCAGCCACCCAGACCTTGGGTGCCGTCTGTATCTACTGTCACCATGCAGACACCCTCTGTGGATGGGAGCCGTAGCTAAAGCGGCAAAGAAACATCGCCACCACTTTTACTCCTCGCCAGACCTTCCACAGAGAGCAGCCGTGCACCACCCTGCTCCACCAAACCCCCACGAGACGCGAGAGACGCCGCACCTGGGACCGCTGCTGTTGGTGCAGTCGTGGCTGTGGCTCTGGCCGCCCGCAGGCTTCTTCCCATTCTGCCTGATGCCTTCGGAGCTGACAGCTTCTGGAGAAACAGAGTTTCACATTAAACCCCAAGCGTTATTTAATTTATCAACGCACTTAAGCAAACACTGGCAAAAACCTGTAAGCACAATACGATTTTACAAAGTGCCCCGCAGTCTCGGTTATCAGACAGACGCAGCTTATTTTGAAAGAGCCGTTCCGTGACTTCCCCACCAGAGGAAGAGCCGATGCTCACACGCTGCTGTGCTGCCTGCCCGCTGCAGAGCGGGGTCTGCTGGCTCTCCTTATGGCTAAACCAGGACTTGGCAGCGCAAAATCCAGGGTTTTATCCCGGGAATCCAAAAAATGTTGTGTTATAACAGGTTTTTCCTCTCTGAAGCACGACAGGAAGTACAAAGAAAGGAAGAAAGGAAAACAAAACAAAAAACCACATTGCCACTTGCAGGGTTTCAGCCTATCTGCAGAAACACAGCAAAGCACAAGCGTCCCCGCCTCGAGGCAGCCACCACAGGAACCCACTGCACCCCAGCAGAAACAAGCGCTCAATGCAAATTGCACGTTCCTAAAAAAACCAGGGTAGCTACCATGCAAATTAACCAAATACAGGTGTGGCACTAAGCACACCACCCTACGTTAGCAAAATTTGACCACTCTTTCAGCGTTTTGTTTCAGTTACAACATTCTGCTCCTACCAAGTGGCAAAATAGCAGTTAAAAAAGAGGATTCTGCGTGGGCCCCCCATGTTTAAGACAAGCAAACAGCAATCTCAAGATTACGCTGCTTAGCACACAAAGTAATGATGCTACAGAAACTGCTCTTGAGATTACAAGGCTCTAACCATTCAGCTGAGCTTCCCCTTCAGCGAGCACAACCCAGAAAAACCGAAGCGCTCCTGCTGTCGCAGTGCGTCCTCCAGGACGGGAGCACAACCCAGAAACAGAACCCGAAGCACCTTCCCCGAGCGCTCAGAACATCAACACTGGCGAGAAGTGGCCGTGCTCTCAGCCTGGAAACCTCTCCTGCACAAGCGGATGAAGGCCGCCTAAGAGGATTTATCGGAGGTGCCTGCGGAAGCGCGCGTGACTGCACCTCGCTCCAGGTCGCAGAAAGACCCCGCGGTGCTCAGAGACCCCGCACTGCTCAGAGACGCGCTGTGAGGAGCGGTGCTGGGGAGTGCAGTGCTCAGAAAGGAGAGTTAAATCAGCCTTGCCATTAATTACATCCATCTTGGCCAGTCTGCTCTTTCCTTAACAAAAGTGTAAGCCACAGCTCCATGTGGGACCACGCCGTCCTGGGCTGGGGAGAGCAACTTTCTTCTTTTCAGGGTTCCCAATGAAGCAGCGCTGCAGTTGTGACTGTGACTGCACACAGACGGGATTTCAGGTAGGGGTTTTAACCTAACGTAAATGTAAACCATACAAGGTAAAGTACCTTTATAGATGCTCTCATTCATCAGCCTTAATTCACAGAGGTATAATGAACTAGTATCACTCTACTATCAAATGGTAGCATTTACATAGTATTTAAATGTGCTTCGATTTGTGTATGAAAACTGCTACCTCAGTATGCCTGCTCATTTAAGGACAGAGTTACAGCTATCCCTGGAAAACAGCAGACAAAAACCTTGTTCTGTATTAATTTATACTCCAAAAGACCCCAGGTGAGGGCAGAGAGCATCCTCTGCAAGTATAGGGGGGAAAAAAAACAAACCACAAGAAAAAATCCCCACTAAAACAGAAAGAGATCCCTGGACTCCTCTGCCGCAAGAAAAACACAATGAAGCCTTGAAAGGCAACTCTGTCAAAGCTGGGAGGCAGGATCTGATAGGATCCAGTTCCCAAGGAGGTCACCAGAGAGTTACCGTGCTCCAGATACAACAAAAACACCAACAGCGGCCAGAGTTGCGTTGCACCCAGGTTTTTCCCCCCAAGCCTCTCCCGTCAGCTCTCAGCTGCAGAGCACCCCGGACGGGTGCCCCCAGCGCACCCCGCTGCGGTTACCGGCGGTGCACAGCTCAGCCCTGCCCTGTTTGGGGTTTAATGCACTACCGATAAACACAGAAATAGAGAGAGGGGATCCCAGCAACACCGGACTGCACCGCGGGAATCGGGAGCAGCCCAGCCCCGGTGCAGGTGAGCAAACGAGAAAAGGTGAAAACCCCGGGACCGCCCCGGCCCCCC